AGAATACAAAGCAATAATAATATTTGCAAAAAGGAATTGTTTAAGTATGAAAAAATAACGAAAACCGGTAAAAATTTGAAAGAAATTTACACAATTTTGAAATTAGGGCGTTTTTTGAAGCTTAAGGAGTGCGATTTTTGGAAAACGCTTATTCGGGTTCAGTAGAAAATTTAATTTCCTTTCGCTAAGATCCTTTCAAATCTTTTCTAGCTCTTACTGTTTTCGAGCTATATCCGTTTGAAGGTTTTTTACCACTTTTACACGCCCCATGTTATTCTTATGGAGAATAACATTGAAAATGGTAGACTTTGGTGTGCTCATCTGAACCGTTTAGAAACGTGCTAGAGACTTGAAACTTGGTATTATTGTAGTAGGGGATCTTATATTAATGATGAAATTTGCAAAAGTCCCATTGTCAAGTTTTAACCCCGCCAAAAATAAAAAATGGCGGACCTCTGAAAACGATAAAACAAGTTTTTTTCAAACGGATATAGCTCGAAAACAGTAAGAGCTAGAAAAGATTTGAAAGGATCTTAGCGAAAGGAAATTAAATTTTCTTTTAATGTCAACATTTGAAAGTTTTTACGAGCCCCATGTTATTCTTATGGAGAAAACATTTACCCCATAAAAACCACCATAAGTCCCCGTTCCCATGGTCCGTTCATGCTATAGATTTACTCTGGTTTACTTAAGGTTTTATCCCCCTATCGTATTTACTTGACCCCCAAAACTTAATTTTAATGTCAAAATTTGAAAGTTTTTAAGAGCCCATGTTATTCTTATGGAGAATAACATTGAAAATTGATGACTTTGTTATTGTCATCTGAATCGTTTAGAAACGTGCTAGAGACTTTGCGCCCATTACGGAAAGGTAAATTTTATAAATATATCCTCCCCCCCAAATATTAACCCCCCCCCCTCGCCACAATGTTATTCTTACAGGTGCACAAGTCAAAATCACGTTTACCCATTTCTAGATTAAATGGATGTCTGAAATTTTGCATGATTGTAGGTCTTGCGCCATGGCCTATTTGTATTTACCCCCAACCAAAAAAGGGGGCCTGGGGGCGGAGCCCCCAGCGAGCCAAAGGCGAATAAAATATTACAGCATATCTAATGACCTTTAAATTCTAAACAGGTTCTACCTTATTAAAGTGTAGACTCAGTGAAACGTAAAGTTACATGATTTTAATCATAAAATAAACCGCTTGCAAAACTATAGTATCCACAATTAGTTCTAAAATGCCGATAGTTTTTGTTTGTTTGTTTTTTTTTTTTTTTTATTTGTATTGCAGAGAAAATAATTCACTCGCTAATTGGAAGCATTTTTTCACCAATTATCCTGATAATTTAGTTACATTTTGTGTCAATTTCAAATTACATCGTCATATCGTATATCAATCTATTTTTATTTTGAACAAAAACATATCATACAAAGATATACTAATTTTCATAGGCAAACAGAGAGGTATTTTCGAATACAAATAACGTGTTTAAATATAAATATTATTTCATTTCTAAATGTTTACGTTTGTTGCAAAATCATTAACGTTTATCAAAATGGAATCGTACAACATTTAAAGTTATTGTTAACGAAAAATGAAAATGGAAAGATCATTCTTACCAGCGGACACATGTTTATAAATATATTAAAACTATAAGTATTCAACAATCTTGAATGAAAACAGAAAACGTAGTTTACAATACATGTAAATATCGTAATATTTCCTCACTCATGTTTCGACCTGTACGTGATTCACAAAATATCTGGGTGCTTACTTCCCTTAGAGGCCATTATATTACTGAAACAATGATACATGACTGAAATGAAACTATTGAGAGTGCACTTTAATTAACTCTACATATTGTGGTGGATATGCGTTACTCGTCCATAGTACAACCCAGAACTCTCATTGTTATTACAAACGGTTTAAACGACGTTTTACAATACAATGGTTCTAGAATTATGTTTTATGTATACACTGAGGTAAACGCAATTTACTCAATTAATAGATTTCTATAAAAATTATTTTGTTTGTCGTTTTAAAAGGAGGGTTTTTGGGGTTATAAAGTGTCGTACTACTTAAACTATGTTACTAATAATCTTTATTGTAACATATCTTGATTCGTCGTGACAAATTTGATGGCTTGATTCAGCTTTATTAAGTATAAAATTTAGTGATTTATCTTAAAATCTTAGGATAGGAATATAGATATTTTAATAGAAAGATATATTCGTAGAAAGGATATAGATGTCTTTAATATCGTTGTTACAATTGCCGTTATAATTGCCAAAAAATTATAATAAAATGAAATACTTGATAATTAAGTAAATATGTCAGGTTTAAGTAATACATTTAAAACTAAATCTTTGCAATCAAGAACAGGTTGAAATTTTTTTAAATTTCACTTTGAATAAAGTTCAATATATCATCATTGGTTTATCACAGCCTGTCCTAGCGCAGCTAAATTTTATAGGCTCTAGGATTTAATATGCCAGACACAAAGCTGATGAATACTCACTGGTTTATGCGATGGAGCTTGCAGATATTGAATATTCATTTTAGCTTTGATCAGAACATTTTTTTTTACTGTAGCCAAAATAATTGTATTTAAGTAGTTGGACTTTTCATTATGCTCTCAGAGTTTAGGGCATACGTTTATGCTCTGTAGAATCAGTGGCGTAGCAGTTACCCAATGTTAATCCGCACGGTAATATCCTGAAAGATCAAAGATGCAAACTCCCTGTGTTTGATTATATGTATGTTTTATTTCAATACTATATTTTCTTTACATTTCCTCTGCAAACTTAATTATTTAGGAGCTACAGGATGCAGAATATAGTGAAAATGTGAAGAATAAAAACGTGTTCAAATTACATTTACATTCTGAAACAAGGTTTTCCATAAGACATTTTAAAGTCAGCCGCCTTATTGAAAAATGGCAGACGTGTAAAATATGGAATTCATATTTTTAATGTCTTAAGAAAATAACTGAAGTTCCTTAAGTAATGTTTTCTCAAAATCTAATAGTTTCTGAAATACCAATTATGTAACATAGCCGCAATGGCTTTGTCATCTTATTTACAAAAAGAGAGATTGTTGTTTTCATTTTCTGACTTCTGCAGCTTCGTCCTCCCGAATGTTCTAATTGCTGTGTATGCCTTGTTATGCGACTGTCCATTGAAATGGGTTTCTTCTTCCTCTTCACACCTTCTAGTCCTGGATCTGACTAGGGTTCTGTGTGCATTCGCGTATAGAGAATTTTGTTTTTGCAATTCAATTAGGTGTCTTCAAGAAGGAATCGACACACACGTAAGTGAATTCCGGCAAGCTCTTAGGAAGGGTTTTTTTTCACTCGGGTGTCAAGTGAAATGAAATGAAATGAAAATACTTTATTCCAACAAAACACAAAACACAAAAATTGTTACACAGGGTTGTACAAAACAGATGGATTATTCCCCACATAGGCACAGCCTGTGTGTGGGGAATGAGCTTCACCAGTAGTCAAACTTACATATTGATATAAAAATTAATTAATAACTAAAATTATTATTTTACATACTTTGGAAGGGAGTAAGATTGCACATTGAGCTACGGTAATACAAATTAATTTTAAAAACTGTAGGAACCACAATAGGAAATAAAAGCGAAAACAAAACTACACATACTAAACAAACCGCGTACGTATCAACTGAGACTCGGAAACCACACACACACACAGACATACACACACAGACAGACAACAGCATACACACAACACACAACACACGTCAGCTCAGTTGCTCAGTTGCACCAGGACATAGAATAGAATAGAATAGAAACGTCTTTTATTTGAAGCGGTTTTCAGTACATAAATACACTGCTTTTCAAAACAACTCAAGTCAGGTACAAAGTCTGCAATACAATAATAAAAGAGAACAAATAATTTAACTAAAACTAATTCAACCAGCCTATATTTACAAATAAAGTTTTTTTGTTTCTTGTCTGAAAGCCTTATAACTTAAATTTTTAATTCTTTCAGGTAAGGAATTGTATTCCTGAGGGCCGAAAAAAGAAAACCCCTTCTTACTACATTCAAAGTTTACACGAGGCAAATGCAGTAGGCTATCCTGTCTTGTGCACCTATCTCGTATTTCTTTTCGAGTGGTTAGTTTATCTTTGAGGTAGGAGGGTCTGTTGGTTTTGACCACTTTATGTACTATGGCAACAGTTTCAAGGACGCAAACAACCTGCACTGGTAACATTTCACTTTCCTTTCTCGTATGTGATATGTGATCAAATTTTTTTAGATCATATACAAATCTTAGAGCATTATTTTGCAAGCGGTCCAAGATATTCAAATTTTCAGCTGACAAAGAAAACCCAAAGGCAGGCAAAGCATAGTTTATTATTGGCATTACCAGGGATCTAACCATTTGTAATTTTACATTCTCAGCTAATATATGCCTAAATCTATTTAACACTCTGAGTAAAGATATGACCCTTTGTACGATTGTTTTTACTTGCTTTGAAAATTTTAATTCTGTATCAATCGTAAGCCCAAGGACTTTAACAGCCTCAGTAACCTTCAATAAATCATTTTCCAAAAGTATATTTACATTATTTCGGTGGCTTAAAAGAGTGTTTCTCAAGCAATTGCTGAAATGTATTACTGAACACTTCTCAGTATTTAACCTAAGACAATGATTTTTTGACCACTGATAAATATTTGTCAAATCAGCATTTATTGCCTGTTCTGCCTGCAAAATCTCTGAATCTTTGAATGAGAAGAGTAGCTGTGAATCGTCGGCATACGAAAAGAGAGAACAGTGGGACAATGTTTCATTCATGTCAGCAGTATACAAGATAAACAAAAGAGGCCCAAGCACACTTCCTTGAGGCACTCCACATGTTTTTGGAAGGGCTTTAGAGGTAACTCCATCCACCTTGGTTACCTGCATTCTGTTTTCAAGGTAAGATTGAAACCAATTTTGGGCTGTTTGGTCAAACTTATAATACTTTAATTTGGCTCTTAGTAGCTCGAAGTCAACAGAGTCAAAAGCTTGGGCAAAGTCTAAAGTCACCATGGCACTATTGAGCTTATTATCTTTAGCTCTGTACAGCTGATCTATAACGTTCAGCAAAGCCGATGTTGTGCTGAAGCCTCTCCTAAAGCCTGACTGGTTATCATGCAATATATTTTCAATAAAAGGCTCAAGTTGGCTAGCCACCACTTTTTCAACCAGTTTTGATAGTGCTGAAAGAATTGATATGGGCCTGAAATGAGAAATGTGTTCAGGCTGCTTTGCTTTGGGCAACGGAAATACCAAAGCTTCTTTCCAACATGACGTGACATCAGGCAACTGAGCAACTGAGCTGACGTGTGTCCGCACCTGGTACGTTTTCCAGCTGTGACGTCATCAAGATGGCGGCTAGGGCAAATTTTTTAATGCATATATCTTGCATACCGTCGAACGGATTTTTTGTGCTTACACTTTTGTTGTAAACATAATATTTATTCCACAATGTTTAAAAAATGTGATTTTTTTATTATATATTTTTGTATTTTGCTTATTACTTCTTAACCACTTATAAAATGTAAATGACACCTTTCATAAAGTTGTAGATCGTTTAATGCCCTTTCAAATTATACCACATAGTATGTGATTACTTTTGAAAACGAAGCAAAAAGAATAAATAAACCGTAAACAAACACTCACTATGGTATAACGACCGGGAAAGATTGCGTACGGTTTATTGTTATAACCATATCTCCAGTTAAATCTACGTATCTAGAAAATTGATTATATTTATAAATTTTTATGAAAAAGAATCATGAAACACTATTTACTTGCGTACAATCAACATAATATGTATTGCTAACGAGTATATAATTTATTTGTTTACATTACATACTTTAACATTTTTCCCACAATAAAAATGTATATCTGATATTGTAAACCCCCTCACAAATATTGATATATATTTCGTCATGTATCTCTTTAATATATACATTATATCCTCTAAAACTTGCAGATCAAAACAAACATTTTGATTGTTAACAATTAATTAACAACAGTTAATTTACAACACTTGTTTCTCAAACTGATTTTATTTCCACTTCGCGCTGCAATTATATCCTATGGGATATAGGCTTAACGATTTTAATGAAAATATGAAAATATGACTAACACCGCGAATGAATTTAATTAGCACGAAACGAACTTTTTTGCTCACCTAATCACGGGGAAGGTGGGGAACGAACTGGTAGACGAAGACCGATCCCTGGCTGGCTAATTTCATCCCCACTCATCGTAGTGCACTGTGGGTACCGTCGTCTATTGTTTAATCAGCTGACTGGTTCTTCGCGTCCACTCATATTAATTTTTTGTGTATTCCAACAAAATCGGTACACAATGCAGTGAATCTGTAAATAAGTATGGTAATACGCTCTTTTACTTCATCTATGCTCTTAGTAAGTTTTCTATGGCGCTCCTGCTTGTTTGGTGGAAGATCGTCAATATTTGTGTTTTTACCATGTTGGTAAAGCCACCGCCCCAGTTCGTCTAATGTTTTAATAGTTGAACCTTTCCTCAATAATTGAACAATATAGGTTTCAGCAGATAATAGACATAATTCAATATCATTTTGATTGTCTGAGTGTCCAAAGTGTATTAGTAAGCATTGAACGTCAGAGTTAAACGCAGCTTATTTTATGCCAAATTTACCAGAATCATCTGCCTCAGGTAGAGCATGTTCGGAAGGAAGTTAGCTACTTAACTCATTCCCCATAGATGATTGAATCTGGTGGTAACCATAGATGATTGAATCTGGTGGCAAGATTTGTGTATAATCGCCAACTCCAGCTCTTTGAGTCCTAATCTGTTGAACGTGGTTCCAGTGAATAGAGCAACAGCTACAACATAAGTACCACCGTATCAGCACTTACTATGACTACCTTAGTATTACCTTCCATTTCTGAATTTGTAGAATGCACCATAATTCTGAAGTTTCTTTCTTCAATAACTAGAACATTTAGTTCAGTATAATTAATTACGCTCAGATGTGCAGTTGAAAATATCAGAATCTGGTTTCTTCCAGTAAACGAACTTTACTTAATATATGATTTACTAAAGAATATGACATAATAAGTGAGTCTACAAGAGAATTTGCAATGCATCTTTGTAGCATTAATTTGTTATTACTTGATGAGCCCCAAACACTTTCAAGTTGTACGGGCAATGTAACGTTTTTCCCAATTTTAGTCACATCAATGGTTGTGTTGCTCGATTGCCTTTGTAAACGTTCACTTGATTTTGGAGAGAGTTTGTGATAGCTATGAAATATACAAACGATCCTGCCACAGTTTTTTTTATATGTTTTGTGTATAAGAAAGAAAATCTGTTAAGTTTCCCCCAAATGTTTTGTGATCAATCGTCAATATCTTCCTCAGGGAATTCATCACATCAAATATATAGAAAGTCTTATCATCACTGTTCAATCATAAGTATCATCACAATATACACTAATATTGTTTTAGGTGATGATTTTTTTCTTGCTAATCCAATAAATTATACATGCACTAAAAAATTCTGTTTTAACGCAATTATTATAGGTTGCTTACGTTTTGTCCCTAAATATGAAATTGATTATGTAAATTGTATCTCAATAGGCTAAACTCCTTCCAAATATATAAATAAACTAAGTGATATAACAGTGCCCTAGCTTTGGCATCATATATACATTTTTATCGTGGGTAAGAATCTTTAAATGCGTGATGTAAACAAACAAACTATGAGCTCATTAGCAATACATGTTAATTGTACGCATGTCTGAAGGGTGCGAAGTCATCTTGTGTTTGCAAAAGACATAAAGTGTCATGTTGTATTTTCTGCAGATGCCGATCTATTGCTAATGCTTTATGCAGAAATAAACACTACAGTATTTCAAGGAGGATGAAAATGGTAAAAAGGTATAATATTCAGTACATGTATAACTGTAATATATTTTGTCTAGTTCATTATGATTTCTATTACTATTTGGCATTACATACCCAAATAAAAGTTTAATAAATTGTTAACAAACAAAATGTTTGTTTCAATCTGCAAGTTTTAGAGGATATAATGTATATATTAAAGAGATACATGAGGAAATATGTATCAATATTTGTGAGGAGGTTTACGGTATCAGATATACATTTTTTTGTGGGAAAAATTTTAAAATATGTAATGTAATCAAATAAATTATATACTCGTTAGCGACACATAACTATGTTAATTGTACGCATGGAAATAGTGTTTCAAGATTCTTTTTCATAAACATTTATAAATATAATCAATTCTAGATACGTAGATTTAACTAGAGATATGTTAATAACAATAAACCGTACGCAATCTTTTCCGGTCGTTAAACCATAGTAAGTGTTTGTTTACGGTTTATTTATTCTTTTTGCTTGGTTTTTAAAAGTAAACACAAACTATTTGGTATCATTTGAAAGGGCATTAAACGATCTACAACTTTATAAAAGGTGTCATTTACATTTTATAAGTGGTTAATATAAAAAAATAATCAATAAAAAATAACATTTTTTTGTATTGTGGAATAAATATTATGTTAACAACAAAAGTGTAAGCACCAAAAATATAGCCTTTAAAAATATCTTTTAATCAAAAGAAGAATCATCACAATCTGTTCAACGGTATGCAAGATATACGCATTAAACAAAATTGCCCTAGCCGCCATCTTGATGACGTCACAGCTGGAAAACGTACTAGGTGCGGACTTGACACCCGAGTGAAAAACACTTCCTAAGACACCTATATTGAATTGCAAAAGTAAAATTCACTATACGCGACATGCACACAGAACCCCAGTCAGATGCTGGACTATACTAAATTTAAGTCTACTCTTGTAATTTTTAGGTGAATCTTTTCGCTTCTTTTATATTAATAAATTTTTGATGTGAGCGAGTGGTTTGCCTACTATGAAAATCCAATCGACAGTAGCACTCTTAGACAGCGTTATTTGTTCTATGCCTCCTGTCAGACATTAATTGTTATTTGAAGATTTTTTAGCCATTGGTCAAATAAGTAGCCAAGATATAAATAATATTTTCATTTGATACATCAGTAGAGTAACTTGCCGGTTTCCCATGTATGCAGTGTCTTAAAAAAAAGCCAGAGGCGCACACATTCGCATTGAGGCACCTACTTGCTCACTAATAGTGTATTCATTTATCAGTCCAAGATATTAAACCACCTTCCTCCATATGCAGAAATACGCGTAAGCACCCATTAGATTCTTCACTAGGAAAAAAGAGGATATATCTTCGATTACCGCAAGCTCAAAATTTGCGTTGACTGGCTCTGGGGTCCACTCTGGAATCGCCTTAAGGATAGCTCTGAAAAGGCGAACACCTGAATGATGGCAGGAGTGACGTTTGTTTCTTCCACTGTGCTCCCTAAGACCACGTGCATGTTTTACAACTGTACCATCGGCACTCCCGTTTTGCTAACACTATAGTCGAGCTATGGAACTCCAAGGTCGGTGACTACCTACTTTGCGTTCCTTAATCATTACCCTTGACAAGTTTTAAAGTAGACGAGATAGTACTATTTGATGCCGTACGAGATATCAATAATTCGACGCTGTACGAGATATCACTACTTTCAAGGAAATTGGGAGGAAATAGCACCTGGACAAGATGGCCCTACATCTGTTCGGGTAGGCTGTCCAGCTCACAATTAGTTGTCTGAGGCCATTCAAGCTAAGTAGCAGGTCCTTATTTTACTTGTCTGATCACGCCACTGATAAATTGCCTAACTCTCCTGCCTTAAGTTTGGCGGGAATAACTCCAACGACCACCAGGACAAAGGATTCTTATACAGTCATAGCAGCAGCCTTTCTTGACTTAAAACAACATGATTTTCAGGCATTTTACGGAATCTTCAACAGAGTCGTGTCCATCTTCCTCGTGTTGTACTTCATCGTTAAATAGAATACTGGCTAGCACTTTTTGCGTTTGCTAATTCCAGACTTAAGAAACACAAGAGGGCTATCCACAACTGTGTAGTGGACGATCTGGAGTGTTTTAAATCATTTTCTAGAGAATGTCCAATCGAGATGGTTTGGCTTATATACAGTTTTAACTGTCTGACGGAAATCTCCCGAGCATATAACGATCTTGTTACCAAATGGTTCATGTGAATTCATGAGATCCCGCAGAGATCTGTCGAGAATCTCAAAAATGTAACGATGAGCCATCGGTGCATCATAAAAAACTATGAGCTGTGCTGCTCTGATTAGTTCTGCCCGCTGAGACCCGATGGTCAAGTTTCAATAGCCTATGCCGTCGCCGAGGTCAAGTGGTAATCTGAACATACTATGAGCTGTCGTACCACCGGCCACTGGCATGGTAAAAACACTGGCATGTTGCTAGAGCCGATACCAGAGCTAGCGACAGCAATAGCAACCTGACTTTGGCTTCGAACGTAAGCCAGAAGCACGCTAATTAACAATGTTTTCCCGTAGCCACCTGGTCCGTCTAGGAAGATTAGTCTGTTTTCTGGTGATCCCCTTGTAATAACGAACGAACGTGATTTAAGACAGCCCTTTGATCATTTGACAATTTCGGTTACCAATCATCCACAAGTGATCTCGGTTGGTTTTTCACTGTAGATGAGCAGTTCCCTTCTAACTCTGTAGTCTCATATTTTACACTTTGGAGGCCATGATCAGCCAAACATGATCCCTGGTGACGGAGACTGCGATCAATTTCAAGCAGAGTGAGTTTGATGGCTAGCTTGGGATCAAGTGGGTTGTGATCCATATGATCCTCACAAAGCATGTCTCTGAAGGTTTCCCACAAAAGAGCCGCAGGTGCCCCCATGTTACAGAAAAGGACGAAAACTTAACGCAGCCTCGAACCAATCATGAACTGAGCAGCTTCCTTTATAGCAATCCGATACTCATCCTCATCTTCTACCAGACCGAGGTTTTGCGCCACCTGCTGGAATGTACTGCAACCATCACCACCACGCGCCAGTAGATCAGCGTAACCACGGCATTGTACAATCGTGAGGAGGAGACGAAGGAAGTATTGTTCGCTTCCGTTTGGTGAAACCCAAAAGAGTCGGCAGATCTTGGTCCCACGTTGTCGAGGAGTGATATAATGTTTACCGTCGGGATGGTTGTATACCTCTGCACTACGTGGAAGTTTGGAGTGAACAAGGTATTGTTCGAAGAATGATTGATAAGTCAAACTGTCAAATATGGGATCAAGAGGTCTATTGAAGTAAAGTAACAGATTAGAGCTAGCTTGTAGAGTTTGGTCACCCAAGTTGGTTGGACGGAATGTTACTGACTGCTTTCCCTCAAGGTGTACAGGAAGGCACTCTACTGTTGGCTCGTACTTTGATATTGGGAAGACTAAAAGCCGCCAGCACGCGTCACTAGCACCCACCATCCGCTTTGTCACATAGTGCTGTACTTCATCTTCTTGCTGTCCTAAGGGTGTTACAGTAACATTCCGCAGCGATCCACCCTTCATCAGGTACTTGAATAAATACTTAACAACTTTTCGTGTTGAAGCTAGCTCTAAATTGATATGTGCTTCGTATTTCAGAAGTAGTGCAGAGTTAATTAGGACAAGCAAGCCATCATGAACAGTGACAGACTTTCTCCTCGACGTAATAACTCCTTTGTTCTCGTAGTTGCGTTTGTATTGAACAAATCCTCTTTCATCAATATGAGTAGATTGGCAGGCAGGTTTCGGAAAGAATTTGGAACAGCAGCCTTTGTCCGAGTTCCAACAAGGAAAGTCAGTCCTGTGATCTGTACCACATGGGCCATGGATCATGTGTCTCAGAACTAACTCCCTTCTCCAGCCTCCTCCTCCGAAGGGATGTCAGATCGAATGATTGAATCAATGTCAGCAGCCTGAACCGGACCATCGCCGTCAATCTTAAATACAATGTGGGCGTGTGGAAGGATCCGCATTTGCAATTCAATGACATGTACGATGTACACGGACCGGCCAAACGTTCCTCCAATACGTAGATCTCGGAGAAGTTCCAGACTCTACTACAGGCCGTACTAGGGTCGCTGCGACCACTGTTCCTGGGACAAGCCTTCTTGTTTTCTTCCCACGCCGCACTATATGCAAAAGTGAGGAAGAAAGTAGGGAACCCAAGGCGAGAAACAAGAGCCATAGCGTTCAAGTAACGAAGCTTCATATACCTTGGACCCTCTGTAAAAGAACTGGGAAGATAAACTTTACCCGGCTGTGCTCCACCCTCCCCTCGGATCGTTTCGTCATTTGCAATGGCGTTTAAAATCTGTCTCGTTGGGTAGTTACTACTACGTCTAGCTGTCTCAAGTTCGTCCAATAACCCTATCCGCATGGCATTTTCAGCTGACCTGGTTTGATTATATTTAATGAAATTCAACCTCTCCTCTTCGAATCTTGCGAACATCTCGACCTGCCAAGCTTGAGATAGTCGGCCTATGTGAGAAAAACGAGGATCGGATAACAAAAGGCAACGTGCGTAGTTATACTGAGATAACTTGTTATTGAAGCTATCGAGGTGACCTTTATGCCAGCCCAAAGTGCTATCCGGATAGAGCAATGGGTACTGGAAAGGCTCCATGAGGGGGCTAAAAAGATTTATAGAAGTTCGTTTAGGAGACCCTACTCCAAATTGTCAATTTCCGAGGTTCATGAACAGTCTCATGGGTTCTGAGCACTGGATGTACCTCGACGCCTGTCTGTCCGTCGCCTAAGACCGACCGTGAGTGGCTCTGCTAGTGTCTTCGAAGTCTAAGTGGGCATTGATAGCTGGATCATTATCCAAACGACGATAGTTAATAATAAACGGGTTTTCAAGAAAAAGATATTCAGAAATAGAGTCAACCATACCAGCATCTAGGGATCTGCCAGAGGCAGTATTTCTCCTCTCGTCGCCGTCATCAATATACATTCGCGATCTATTTACAAACCGGACGATCCCAGCTTTAGTAGTAAACTTTTGACCAGGAGCGTCCAGATTATAAATTTGATAGTACATCCTGCCTTCTATTTTGAATAAGGAGAGACCACAGGTGGTAACCTCCTGATACCTCGAGAGCGCAAAAGGCAAAAAGGTCGATATAGGCTCGAGCTCTTTTAAGGAAACAACGATCGGAGTAGAAGTCCTCTTGAAGTGCATGTAAATTAAGAACATTGTAGGCTCCTTGAACACAACACCACTTATTTCGAGATTTCTCTTCTTCAAATAACCGAGCGCCACAGTGGGGACATTTGAAAACATCATCACTCATTGTTTTTGCCAATATGTATGGCTTTATATGATTTAATAAGTCCCCTGTCCAACACCCCATCGGGCCATGATTAAAGATATTCCTGGCAAGGGTTATATCCAAATGGCGAATTTCAATCAGCTTAGGATTTCTTAGTCGAAAAATTTGGACTCTTTCGCGTGATGCTCCGGGATGATTTTGGCTATAACGCCCTACAGCCTCCCTGTGAACTTCAGGGTGTGTTTGGCTGTACCGCTGTACAACCTCCCTATTAACCTCAGGGTGTGTTTGGCTGTAGCGCCCTACAGCCTCCCTATAGACATCCGGATGAGATTGGCTGTAAATACGGACAGACTATGAGACTCAGGGTGGGTTGCTCGGTGACGGCGAGCATCGTCTACATTTTTGTTCGGATGATTATCCGTATATTTCTTCTCTGTGGCGGTGATTTGTTCGTCCTTAGTTGTGTTTAAAGTTTTAGGACGCCCATGTTTCAATTTTTTGGGCCTTCCGGGTCCTTTTCGGGTAGTATCGAGATTCGGAGGGACTTAAACTTTCTCAAAGGAGAAATCACAACAACCGGATTTAGGGTATTAAGTTTTGGATCTAGGAGAAAATCATGACTTGAGCACTGCTAAAGGGATTCGTTGATAGAATCGTTTTGAATGACAAAGTCAGGGGACAATCTGGGGTATGAGCAAAATCCAAACTGGGGAGAAGTGGTGTAATAACAGGGTTAAACACAAAGTCAAGTGAAGCGGATGTGATGGCCCAGGCTGAGTTTGCCACACATTTGGCGTTTCTGCTGTAAGTAAACCTCGAATCACCTTTGATGAAACGATCCACTGGCAACACAAGTATATGCCATAGTTATACTTAATCATTCCGGAATTTAACGCGATAATTGAATTACGAGATAAAATGTACGATGGACAAACAACAATAATTAAACGCAGAAGTTTTGCGTCTAAGTAAATAACTACGAAGAGTCCCTAAGCAGGTGGAAAGTAACTAATACAAACAGACTTAAAAATCAATTTACTTAGCCTAAACAAAATATAGGCTCAATAAAGATGTAACCTACTAAGGAATAAGATTACAAAAATCCCTGGGATTATACGACGAAAAACTAAAAACCAAAACCACTTGTACTATACGGCGCCAGCGACAAAAACAACTAAAAGCCGTTAGGGAATGTAAATAATATAAATGGTGGAAATAAAATTTAGGCACTCAACAACTAAAACTACTCGATTTTCACCTGACAAGAAATGAGACCACTGACTACTAAATCTATAGATGGTGGAAATAAAAGCTATAAAACTATTCAAAAACTAAAACTACTAAATTATTAACTGAAAATAATTTAGACTTCTGACAACTTATTTTGGTGGTAGTCAGTAAACCAAATGATAGTTAACATCATACATGTCCACATCTTATCCCCCCTTATCTTATTTAAGACCTAAAAAAAAAACTATGACAATACGTACTTGCTAACCAAAACACGTAAATCTACAGTAAAAACCACAATTATTTGATTTCTACTTCTATTTTCTATTTAGCAACTAATCAGTTCGCTAACAACGAGTTTTTCAACCAGTCATTAAAACCTCCAAATTAGAAAACAATAACTGACGGACGAAAAAAACTGATCAATTTCTAATTAAAACAACACAATAATCTCAAATGCTACACAAGAGCATTGAAGACTTAAATCCAGTAATAATCAACTAAACTTGGGAAAAACAAAAAAATTTTTAAAGCAAAGGAACAATGTTTTGAAGTGCTGGTATTATATGGTTTAGGAGCATGTCAAGATGGGAAACTCTCTCGCATTCTTCGGGTTCTTATACAGTCATAGTAGCAGCCTTTCTTGATTTAAAACATCATGATTTTCAGGCATTTTACGGTATCTTCAATAGGTTTCAATCGTATTACCTACTACAGTATATGATTTTACTTGTTATTGTAAAATATAACTGACTGCATATATTTATCAGAATATCCATAAAGTAAAGAATATCAATATATATGTATGTATGGATATTCTTTAAAGTTTAATATTGTATGATTTTATTGTACTCGCCGGTTACGCTCGTATCCACTGTCTCCTAATAGTATTCCGCCCATGTCACATTCTTCAAATTCTGCATACAATGATGAGTTCTTAAACACTCTTGAGTCGTGAGTACTCCCTTTCCATCTAGCCACTATATTCGTGAATTCTAGGTCTGCCCCAGCCGCCACCGAGACGTTGATGGCAAATATTCCCTTTCTACTTCTATGCTCTTCCTTGTCTGGAGTTGGAGGGCAAACGATAGGAATAAGGTTGCCATCTACACAACTTGAAACATTTGAAAATCCATAACTAGCAAAAAAAAATTGTTTTTGTTCTTGTGGCATAGTTTCCAGTTGGAAATGTTATATACTCTGCCTTCGGTTCCAAATAAATAGCTAACGCCAATTGATGAACCATTTTACATGCAGAAGCTTTACTGACATCCAATAAATCACCGGTTTCCCGGTGAAAAAAACAATCAGAAAAAGATCTGAGTACTACCAACACCTTTTTCCTAATCGGAATGCTGT